CAGTCATTTCCCAAGGACCCCAATCAGACAGCAGGGTCAAGCACCCTGTTCTGCAACCATCCCAGCCTGATGGATTCACCATCTGTTCAGGCACCTTAAAGAGAACCTTGGAGCCCTTGGCATCATCCCCACAGATTTTTAATAGCTCACAGGAGAACAAGCTAGCAGAGAGACAGCAACTTGGGCCTGCAGCAACCCTGCCAATCTCTATAGGCTCTTTCTCCTTGAGCTTTCCCTGGCGATCTCTCGCGGTCTTTCTCTCCTAGCCATTATCCACCGCAGCCATCCCCTGTGTGACGCTGCCCTTATAGCCTCAGCCTCCAGGCCCAGGGGTGCCCGCTCATGCACAACAGGTGTCCACCATCAGGCACCCGTGCCCCACACCCACCTCCCAAGCGCCTTCTGCATTCAAGGCGGCAGGTGATAGCCACAGAGGGCAGCCGCTTAAAAGCCTGCTACAGGGTAAATGACTTTCAGGCTTTTCTGCCCTGGTCATTAAGATTGCCCTGCCTGATGGGTATCTGCATTTTGTTACATTGTTATAAGTTATATTGTTTACTTCTATGGGCCATGGCAGCAGTATTGAGATATTCACCAAGAGAAGCACAGGCAGGAGAGAGAAAGGGAGAAGGAGAGCCAGTGACACCCAGAGTGAAGACTTGCAGCAGAACTTGGAGGCCTCCTGCCCCCGCCCCCCACAGCACCCCTGCCCGCCGTGTACTTGGTTGCTGCACTACATGTAAAAGCTCAATAAAAGCCTGAGAAAGTCACTCAGGGCTCCAGGGCTCTCCTTTACCTGCCTGCAGGATCATAGATATCCTGCTCGGACCCTTCCTGCCGCTACACCTGCCCATCCCGTACCCTACACACCCCCTTTTATCCACACACCTCTCTCTCCACACCAATGTCAGAGAGGGGTAATCAACACCCACATCTGATTGCTTTGCTTTTGTCACTTCTGTAGGGGCAGGAATGGACCACGGTGCAGGTTTTCTGATCCAGCAGACCGGGTAAAGGAGGGATCAGAGTCCTTAGTGGCTTTTTGCAGGTCTTTTTATTGGGATTTACCCGGTACACAGCAGGCAAGGGTGCTGGGAGGCCGGGAGGCTGGAAGTCCTTCCAGCCCCCAGCAAATCTTCATTCTATCTGGGCTCTCTGGTGTTCTCTGCTTCTGCTTCTTGGCTTCTCTTTGGCTTCTTGGCTTCTTCTGGCATCCCCGTGACGCCGCCCTTAAAAGCCCAGTCTCAGCCCAGGTGAATCCCATCTACCTATGCCCACACCCTACTCCAGGTGCCCGCCATCAGGCATGCATTCAGGACAAGGATCCATCATCTATCCTGATGGCGGGAGGGCGGAAAAGCCTGACATTTTCTTTACCCTACAACTTCATTTTACAAAATGAAGCTACAAAAAAAAAAAAAAAAAAAAAAAAAAAAAAAAAAAAACCTCCTTTAAATTAAAGATTCAATGAAAGAAGTATTCTCCAAAATATTTTAATTGATTTTTACAGCATCCTCTTCATTGGCTTGAAGAGGAATACGGCCCCTGTAACTTCATAATATTTTTCCTTTTTAAGGCAGTTATATCAGGAAACCTAACAGTGATGGAATCATATGAGTCTCAATATACAGGAAGCAGTATCTTTAACAATAAAAATTATTTAATTATAATAAATTAAAATCAAAATCAAAGGGCAGCCATAAATCAGACATTCTGCAGGGTAGAGGGAGGAGAAAAGATCAAAACAGGGGAGGGAAGAGCACAAGGGACTGTGGTGATGGTGCACAGGTGAATTGGTGGTGGGAATTTCACAGGGACTACACCTGAGAGAAAAAAGCATACTTTGTACAAAAAATAAAACAAACATTTTTAATAATGCATAAAAAGATATAAAAGTTTTTTATTAAGTTGTTTTTACTATAGAAATGAAGGTGATGAAAGATATAGTCCTCTGAAATAATTTTATAAATAAAACAAAATAAACCTCTTGGCTAATTGGCATGTGAGTCTCCAGAGTTGGATCATGGTCACCCAAAGATTTGTTACTTGGTCGTCACGAAAAGATTTGTGTGCAGTTGCATTTATGCACTCACTTGAAAGTCTTTTTCCTTCCTATATGCCTAAATGTATTTAATTTTAAAATTACTAAAACTATCCCACATGGAAAAGAAATAAGTGGAGAAGGATGCAATGATTTCCTTAAATTGTTGTTTTTGTCAATGAGATAGATCTTCCATCAGCCCAGCAAACATCGAATAACACATCATAACTTCCTTTGTAAACTCCCCTGGTAACACAGGTCGGTGGTTGCACAGATTAGTTCTGAAAGTTCAAGGACTCTGAAAGTCCTTGTCCAGAAAAGAAAAACAATTTAATGGAGTGTGCTGTTTCAGGAAACATAACAGAAATGTAGTTACCCTAATAATAATTTAAACTAATAATAAAGTTTTTACTTTTTCCTTTCCATTTCCAAAATCAGTGTCTCCTAAACCATCAATCTCCTTGACACTAGCACAGCAGTAGGAGTTGACAAGCTGCCATTGTAAGGCCACCTTTCAGAACTCACAAATGTGCTGCTGCAGTGAGGATGTGAACAAGAGAGCTAGGGGGATTTGGGCTGAAATCGTAGTCACCAGTTTAGTTTGATCAGTTCAGCCATCTGCAATCAGCCAAGCCTGAGTCTCTTAAATCAGTAAGCACCTCTTTCGTATCACAGTTATACACAATCCTTGCATTTCTTTTCATGCAATACGGGACCACACGAAGGATCTTCAACGGGGCAGTGATATGACCAGTGCTGGCTTCACAAAGACCATCAGTGGCTTTAGAATGAGTGGGAGTAGGGAAAAACTGACTGTTCAGTGTGATAGTGAAAAAAGGGTTTTCTGCTAAGAGGACTTTTAGGAAATAAGAAAATAAAACACCTCTGAAATCACCCTGATCAAATATTAGCTGAATTACATGTGATTAACATATATCTGCTGAAGGTCTTCTGTGCTCTAGGCTAAGAGCTTACAAACTTTGCTGACCATACATGAGAAGAATGTATTTCTCCCCCTCAATCCAGTTTCACAAATATATTTGGAAACAAAGATTTCATAAAACAGTATTATTCTACTCGAGTAGAAAATGCATCCTGTTATTTTTCTGCTCTGTTATTTTTCTTAATAATATCCTGAGGCACTACATTTATTTATAGTTTGAAAAACACTATTCAGGCACCATGAGGAAGACAGGAGTAGAGTCCAAGAACTATCTGAATCTTAAAAATAATTTTATCTGTTAAGGGAAAGAGAATCAGATACAAACACAATACAAGGTAAGGAAATAATAGTGTTTGAGAGCTGGAGGGGACCTGAGAAGCCATCTTATCTTAACATTTCTTTTAATTCATGAGAAAATAAAACTCAGAAATATTAGCTAGCTTACTAACAGCTCACAGTAAGTTAGTGCTACAGACCCAGGTCACGAAGCCTCTTAGACGTTTCAAGTCTCTTCCTCTATAGTTAAAAAAAAAGGCAGGATGATGAAAGTTGTGGTATATTTTAATTTAATTCAGATTGAACAATTATGCTTTTTTTAAAAGATGTATTTTATTTATTTATGCATACAAAAGCTGGAGTGTAGGCCAGAGGTGTGGGGGTGGGAAGGTGAGAGGATTCACCAGAGACAGAGCAGGGAACAGAACAGGCAGACTGACTGAAATACACTGCTGAGGGGAGCAGTGGGCAAGACAGGAGAGGTCTGCTGTGCCATGTGAATCAGCTCCCTGGCCGGGGATCAAACTCCAGTTGCAGGGGCTGCGCATAGCTTCACAGTGCTGAGACTTCACCCCTTGTGCCACCAGGGAGGCCCCAGCAAATTGTGCTTTTGATACACATACCACAAATGCAATCCAGTAGTTCCATCTATGAAATGAGTGCCGTATTTATTTAAATATTCACTTATACTATATCATCAGTGGTGCGGGCAGGCAATGAGACAAATATAGAGTTGTACAATGAATGGCTCATTTCAGTGGATCTCTGTGACTGAGTTATCTCTCATTTGGAGATAATATCAGAAGTGTAAATTTGAGACTGCTGGGCCCTTCAGGAAGAGGCAATAGTCAAATGAACCACTTTGTGCTGAGCCACAACCCCTATTTCCATCAAGAAAACATGGAGGCTATCCCAGTTCTACCCACCGTTCTAAGATATGCTCAATAACTAACAAGATTCTGTGCTCATCCGAATCACTCTGTTGTTCTCACATTTTCTGTTGTGTGGGACCATCTCAAATCTGAGGTACAGCTTTGACATGGCTACCAAAAAAATACCAGGTGTTTCGTGTTCTACACTTTGTTGATCTTTCTGCATATGTGTCCTTTGTCCACTTAAAAAACTACTATAAAGGGAATTTTTCACATTTTACCAGTAAATGATGTCAAAATTTTCCACTAAATAAACCATGTTAAGATCTTCCATATGAAACACTCCTTAACTACTGTTTTCGATTTTTTAAGGCATTGCTCAATTAAAACATGTTAAATTAATTAAGCTACTCTACCCTTTTCTGGTTGAGTTTCTGGTTGAAAAAAAACTGATTGTAATAGTCTGCATTCCTATTTGCTAAATTTAATAGGAAGCTGTATGGTATAATTGCAACAGGAATATTCTCATGTTGATCTAATTTATTTATGTCTATAAAAATTAATTGTAAAAATCATGTGACAATCACATGTGTAAATACTTTTTAAAGGAGAGTTTTACATATAGTGTAAACTAAATGATTTATTGTAAAATAAGTAGTTTATTATATTTCTTCTTAGGTACTTCTTTTGCCAGCATTTTGATTAGAAATTTACAGAAATTTTTCACAAAATAGAAAACAAGTTCTTTACAGCTGCTTTTGGCATTTGTGGTTTGAACATAATCGTATTGCATTTTTTAACAACTAAATGAATTCCACATGAAGACCGCACTGTGTTCACTCTCTCTCCTCTCCCTTGAAACCCACAGACGTCTTGCCGGAAACGCTTTGACATACATTCCCAAGGGAGCATTTGCTGGCCTTGATAGTCTGAAAGTTCTGTAAGTAAACCTGGAATCATTTGTTCTGTTTCTGATTTTAGTGTCAAGTGGATGCTAATTAACTTGTAAAGATTGAGTTCCCCTAAAAAGCTGAGCTGTGGGATAATTCATCTAAATCCAAGACTACCTCCAGTGTGGCCATACAACTATGTTACACCTGGTTGAATTTGTGGGAAAAAAAAATTTGCATCTACTCTTCTAACTTCAATATCTAAAATTGCTTGTACGCTGCTAACCAGTGTATCAATGCAAACTATTATGAAGTTGTGGAGTGTCTTGAGTTCATTTTGATCCCAAGTCAATAAATTAATCACCATGATGCAGATGTAATGAGATCACAGCTTTGAAGTTTTTCAGAACTTATTTCCTTATGATGCACTGAATGAGCCTGGAGAGACAAAAAGGGACCCGGTCACGGGAATCCTGTCTGTTCTGTCAGAATACATGGACATTTTATGTGCTCAGCACGATGAGGAGTAAAGGCAGAGATGTAAGCAAGGGAATGGAAATTGAGCTCCGTCACTCTCATGGGAGGAAGAGTCAAGAAGAGAAAGACCCCAGCCAGGAATTGTGTTTACTCTTCCCTTTATTTTACTGCCTGAAAGACAATATTCAGTCAACAAATTCAATCATCAAACACTTTGAAAGTATTTGTTGTTAGAGTGGATGGTTTGCAGCCATGGTCATTCTGCCTGCCATACAGTGTTTTGGAAACACATGGAAACATCTTTTTTTCCATGTGATTGGTATGTGATAAACTGTCTTGTGATGTGCTGCTCAGCCCAGCAAAAAGGGTTTCCTCGCATCCACCTTCACTTTTGACTGCACTTTCATACCAAATGTAAATCAGTAATGTAAGTTATTAAAGAAATATTTGGATCTAGTAGGACCAAGAATGTGAAAGGCAAGATGGTGAACAAGACAGGCCTGTCCTCCTCTCATGGAACCTCTCTCAAATGTTTTATGAAGTCCAAAAGTCATAGCAAAAAAGAGAATTGATTATATTGAACATGGTAAGGAAGATAATATAAAAGTAATAATTGAGGCCTCCCTGGTGGCGCAGCGGTTGAGCGCTGGGTTGCGAAGCTGCCCGCGGCCTCTGCGGCGCCCGTTCGATCCCCGGCTGCTCCCCGGCCACCGGAGGAGGGTCCCACATGGCGCGCAGACCTCTCCTGCCGCCCGCTGCTCCCCTCAGCAGTACTTCGGTCCTTCTGCCTGCTCTGCTCCCCGCTCTGGCTCTCGTGAATTCTCTTCTGACTGTACCCAGTGCATGTATAAACAAACAAACAAATAAATAAATAAAAATAAAATATGCCTCTATTAAAAAAAAAGTAATAATTGTTTGGAACCCTGATCTATATAAAGAAGGTGAAAAGGACATACGTAAAAGAAAAGTAACAGTAATTTAGTTCATTAGATGGAGAAATGAAGTCATCCATGGCTAGGACTGTTTTAAATCTGAAATCTTGTTAACTGTGAGCACTGGAAAATCACTAATATTTAATACTATTATTCCTGCAAATATTGGCCTTAATAAAAAATATGCTATTAGTTCAGTATTACCAAATACCCAATCCACCAGTGGAATTTTGAGCCAGCCAATCCTTAACAAAGGTTCATTTTCTTGTCTACGCCATTTAGTCAATGAATGGTTCATTCTCCTGACACCTAGGGCCAGAACAAAAACCACCTGGAGATGATGGGTAAAATGAACCGTTGGTAAGTCACAATTAGTCAGTATCCCCTAATGTCCATGTAGACCCAGAGCACAGCCTTATTAGTTACTCTATATCTAAACACAGCACAATTAGGCAAAGGAAATACCTAAAGATCAGGCCATCAGTTGTTACAGAGTCCTCTTTCAATGTATTATTTCATTTCCCTTTGCTTCACTGTTTTTATTTAGTCCTGTTTACAAAAATGATATCCCAAATTTGTACCATTAGCATAACATGGGGATGCTGTTTCAAAAAGTATTTTAAAAGTTCCTCAGAGAAAGAAATTCTTTTCAAATGAAGTCATCCTTTGTTTCTGGAGAAAGGATTTCATTTTCTTTACTTGCCCATATGTGAATGATAACTGTGATGTTTTAAGTGTCTAGATCGTATGCAGTTCATGGTATACTCTGCTTATACGCCGTGCATTGAGTTAAAGAGTATTTGCAAAAGAAATCTGCAGCCGTGTTGTGAATACTTTCTGTTTTAATTGCACCACATAGGGCTGTAAACCTTTAATTATTTTGTCTCCCGCTGGAATATCTTAAACAAAAACAGAATTTTCTAATTGACTCACTAGAGACTTATAAGGATAAAATAGAGATAACTTGCTCTTGTGTCGTCATTTGAAAATAATTAAATAAAAATTCTTTAGTATGGAGAGATCAGGACTTAAGTGACCGTTTAAAAAATTATGTTTTTAGTGTTTTAGTGATAGAAATAGTTGAAAAATAAAGTCACTAAGAAGTAGCTCAGCATAGCTTTAAAAGTTATCATAAATAAAGCTCAATTAAGTTTCATTTTCTGAAGCCAGATATCTAAAACTACTGAAAAGTTTTGCATCTATTACCAAAATATCTTGTATCCTCATCAATTGTATGGTAATAGATGGAAACCCAACTCTTGATGGTGATCAAAATGTATTATATAAATGTTGAATTATAGTGCTATTCGCCTGAAAATTGTGTAACCTTTTAAACCAGTTTTCCATCAACAAATTTTTTTTGAAATGATCATCAGATATATTATTGTTTATTGATAGTCCCCATACTGTACATACTTATTTATTTTATAACTGGAAATTTGTACTTCTTTATCCTCGATTCACATTTTGCTTCCCAAAACTCCACTTCTCTGGTAGCTATCAATCTATTTTCTGTCACTATGATTTATTTTGTCTATTTTTTTTCACATTTTATTTAAATTTTATTTTTTATATTCCCCATACAATTACAACCCCCTTATTTTGACCCCAAGCCCTCCTTTCCCCGCCCTCCACCCCCCATACAGTGTCTCTGGTTCATAGTTGTTTGTTGATTTTGATTTTCACTTTCTTATAGTTATTCTTTTTCCTGGTCCCTATTTAAGTTTTCTAGGTTCCTGCTATGAGTAAGACCATCCGGTATTTTTCTTTTTCTTTCTGACTTATTTCGCTGAGCATGATCCCTTCCAGCTCCATCCATGTTGCTGCAAACTGCATGTGTTTATCTTTTTTGAATGCTGAGTAATATTCCATGGTGTATATGTACCACATCTTCTTGATCCAGTCATCTATTTTTGGGCATCTGGGCTGTTTCCAAAGCTTAGCTATTGTAAATAGTGCTGCTATAAACATAGGGGTGCAGGTGCCCTTTGGAATTGATGTTTCTGTGTCCTTTGGGTAAATACCTAGGAGTGGAATTGCTAGATCATATGGAAGCTCTATGTTTAGTAGGTCCAGAAATCTCCACACAGCTCTCCATAGTGGTTGGACCAGTTGGCACTCCAACCAACAGTACAGGAGAGTTTCTTTTTTTCCACATCCTCGCCAACATTTGTTGTTGCTAGTTTTTTTAATACATCAATAAATTTTTTAATGATAATAAATAAATATCTCTTAATCTCTACTCCAAGTTTCCAGATATTTTAGGAAGACCACATTTTAAGGGTTTCACTGATTAGCAAAGCATAGGACAATTCAGTACACACTTTTTACCATTAATATACTATCTTTGGAATTAAGATATCTGTTAAATCTATCATCTGTATGTAATAATTTAAATTTATCACACAATTATTGAGTGAATTAGAAAATGCTTTTGTGACACACAAATTATATAATGTTTAAAAACTGCTTAAAAAAATAAAATAACATAGAAATGTAAATTTTTTATATTCAGATAAATTATGTAAAATATGGAATTAAAGCTACAATGTTAACATTCCCCATACTATTAAATGTAATATCTCCCTAAAGCTTGACTTTGTTCATAAAGAATCAATACATCTAGAGACTCTTGATTATGAAATTTTTGTTGAATCCAAGTTAAATTTAATGAAATGACTTGAGTAAAACTATTGGACTACAAACGACATTATATTCCTTAGAAAACAGAATCTTAACCATCATGAGAAAATGATTATGATCTCATATTTTTGACATTTTGTTCATCGATAAACTTATATTTGTATATACAAGAGTATGATAAATATCTTCATATTTTAATCCTCAAATATATGCTCAATCAGATCATACTGTTCAAGTCCCATTAATTAGATAAAAGACCAAAGAGTCAGCAATGTTAATAGTTTGCTCACCAAGACTCAAAACTTAGGCCTTATCTCCAAGTTCCATCAATGTAGACTCAAGTTCAGGAGAAAGTATTCTATTAGTGGAATATTATTCAGCAATCAAAAAAGATAAACTCATGCCATTTGCAGCAACATGGATGAAACTAGAAGAATTATGCTCAGTGAAATAAGCCAGAAAGAAAAAGAAAAATATCAGATGGTTTCACTTATAGCAGGCATATAGGGGAACCAAATAAGACTTCAGTGTTAAAAAAAAAATTATAACAGTACAAAATACAACAAAGCAAAAATGGACAGTTATAAATCAGAGACATACTGCAGGGGAGGAGGAGGGAGAGGGATTAGAGAGAGGGAGGGAGGAGCACAGGGGACTGAGGTGATGGTGCACGGGTGCATTGGTGAAGGAAACTCTATGGGGACTACACTGAGGGGGTGGGGGGAAGCAAATGTTGTTTAAAAATGAACAACGATGTAAAAAATTTTAAAAATTAAAAATAAATTTAAAAAAGAAAGTATTCTATTAGCAATACACAGCAGGACATAGGGAGACTCTCAGTGTGTGTGGCCTCTGGCCCAGCAACTTCAACATCACCTGGGAGATTGTTAGAAATACAAATTCTCTGGTCCCTACTCAGACATACTGAACCAGAAATTTTGGGGGTGGGGCCCAGCAGTCTGTGTTTTAACAATCCTTCTAAAGGCTTCTGATGAACCCTAAAGTTTGAGAATCATTGTAATAGATTTTTCTTTTTTGCATATTAATTGATTAAAATGGCGTATCCAGTGTGCACTCATTATATTAACTTTGAGATTCATTATATTAACTGTATCGATTCACACAAAAAGGACCAGCCTTTATCAAATGCTTCTTACACAGCACGTATTGCTCTATGTATGTTCACTCTTGGGTCAACACAATAAGCCCTGGGGGCGGGGGGTGAATATTCTTTCTGGTCACTGAAACATGGAAAGATCAGGTGATTTTCCTGATGCCACACCGCTAGAGGCAGGGAAGTGGTAGCTGGATTGAAGAACTCATTTGAGAACCTGAGAATTTGTACTCAACAAATATTCCTCAAGAGAATGCTGCAAGGTGCAGTAGAAAGTTCCTCAATCCTGGAATTAGCACGCCTTGGGGTGAAGCCCAGTGAATAACCCAACTAAAAGGAACTTTGCTTGCTGGAGATGAGAGAATCAAGCAAATGGTTTCTGAAAAAAATCCAGTACAAGTTTGTGACCTAATAACTGGAAACATTTATTTAAATGTCTGCTTTCCTAAAATATTCTTCTGTCTCTGGTTTACACAGACCATGAAATATCTGGGGCAGGTGGCAGGGGTGAAATGTGTTGCAAAATTATTATGCTATAAACATTTATGGAAAAGTTTGCAAAATATAAGAATCTAATGGGAATTTTTTCCATCCTGTTTTCCCTCTGACAATGATATATTTTTATTTCATTATTGCTAGGTGTTTTCTATGGTGCCCATGTTTGGAAAAAAAATATGTTGAACTTAGAAGAGTAAAAGTGCAAATACTTCACAGAAATATTTAACTTTTATCAAAACATGACCATGCATAAGAAGGGAAATCTTTAGTAGACTCCTACTGTTAGCCTTATTTCCACTTTGTCTAATCTACACAGACATCAGAGTGATCCTTTAAAAATATAAAATCACGTCATTTCCCATCTGAGAGCCTACAACAAGAGTTTTGCATCACATTTAAAATAAAGCCTTTTTAAAATACAGAAGGAATAAATCTTGAATTCAATGAAAGAATTTAATGGTTACCAGAAGGAACAGGGAGGAGTGGAGGAAAAAGCGGATGGGAGAGAGAGGCAGATGGAAGCAGTTGGGCTATTGGCATGGATGGGTTTGGTGGAAGGTGAATGGAACATGTGCACATAGGGAAGGGGAAAAATGTAATCCCAAAATTAAAATTTAAAAATTCTCAAAAAATTTTAATTAAAGCAAAATAAAATAAAGCCTTTTCATGACCTGCAAGACCTCCATGAGAGGCCTCAGCTTCCCTCTCCCAACCTCCTGCTCTTACTCATAATTGATCCTTCGCTGCTCCTTTTACCAACAAGCATGTTCTGGCCTCAAGGCCTTTGCACTTGCTCTCCCATCTTTCTCAGTGTTTTTTCCCAGGTGTTCACATGATTGACTCCCTGACTCCATTCTGGTCTCTACTCAAATATCACCTCCTCAGAGAAAACCTTCACTGACCTTTAAAATAAGTTCTTATGCCACTTTACCAGCTATCCCAAATCCATGTTTTGTTTTATAGTACCTATCACTTACTTTATGTTATATATCCATTTGTTGACTTCACTCCCCATAGGAATTTAAACTCTCTAAGAGTCAAGGCTTTGTTGATGCTCTGTTTTCTCTGACACCTAGAACAGTGTCTGGCACTGCTATAGCCAGTTGTCGTTATTTATTGTTAACTTTCCTTAATGTTTTTCTTCATTTGTTTTAATGTGCAGTATGCTGCAGAATAACCACCTGAGACAGGTACCCATGGAAGCGCTACAGAATTTGCGGAGCCTTCAGTCGCTGTAAGTACAACTGAATTGCAAAATGTCCTCAGGACATTTTGGGAAGGAATACAGAAATGACCAATTCACCATTTTAGTAAATTCTTTGCTTGGAGGAAATATCTAAATAAATTATGGATGAGAGTTTCCACTAGAGCAACAATTCTTCACTTTCTCATTTAACAATACATGTGGAGACCAGTACTGGAGTTTAGGGTTTCAGGGAAGAGACTTAATCATAGCACCTGCAGCCTGAGCCTCTTATATGTGCAGGTATTTCAGGGCAAAAAAAAAAAAAATCAAGTTCTATGATTTTGTTCTATATTCCTCTCCAACCCCAGGAACATTAGTTCTTGAATTCAAATCAGGAAAAAAGCCTTCTGTATACCAAGAAAAATAGGTGTCACAGTCTAGACATCTTGGTGTCTTCAAGTTGTTCGCTTTTAAATTAGTGAGCTATTGTCTAATGAAATTTTGCTGCATCAAAAAAGGACAAAATTTTAGTTCTGTGTGTACACCAGGAATCCTTGATCAGTAGTCTAAGATCTAAAGGTGTATCTTATTTTTTTAAAGATTTATTTTATTTATTTATGTTTGCAAAAACTGGGGTGTAGGCCAGAGGTGCAGGGAAGTGAGAGGGTTCACCAGAGACAGAGTGGGGAACAAAACAGGCAGACAGACCGAAAGCACTGCTGAGGGAAGCAGTGGGTGAGACAGGAAAGGTCTTCTGCGCCATATGTGGGTCAGCTCCCTGGCCAGGAATCGAACTTATGCCACAGTGGCTAGTGATCTAGCTTGATAGCGCTGACACTTAACCCCTATGCAACCAGGGAGGCCCTAAAGGTGTATCTTAAAGTCTTACTGTGCAGATCTAAAAACTAAGAGCTTCTCTGTCACCACAAACAGACAAGCAAATATATTCAGTCCCACACACATTCACATATATGACTCGACTCACACATCACACACAGACACATAAACATATTCACAATACTATAGATACACACACTTACATCACAGATTAACACACCATGCACAACCCATACAAAAACACAAATATACAACAGTTGTGGCATGAGTGTTCTCTACTCTGAATCCACAACTTTTCCACCAGGAATTTCTACCCTCCGCTTAGTTGTAATGTCTAAATAAACAAAAATTTAGTTATTTATTGCTCAAAAAAAAATTCTTACCAGCTAGAGACTTTGGAGCTTGGGTTACAAGCAACCGTTTACAGTGTTTATTTGACAAGACGACCACGAGAACTCCATCAACACTTCTCATCTTGTCAGAATGTGTAAGTGTTCATATAGCACATGATTTCCAGTATGTACATGTGTGTGTGCTGTGTGCTCTCATCTTACTTAAACTGAGGTCCTCTGCCAAACAAAATACTGGGTTCTTGTCCAGAATGATGAGGGAGATAAATGTATTTTTAAAAGACAAATAAACATTGCATACCTCAGTTGAAAATCATTAAAGAATCTATCAGTAAATAATGACCTATAGTTTGCTTAATGCCTTTTACTGAGGTGACACAAGAGAAGGAAGAATGTGAGATTTGGGGATGATACTTTCTTCCTTTGATCTCTTTTTTTTTTTTTTTTAATGAAAGCAAATCTGTGCTTGAGATCATTTTAAGCTTTTGACTACAGCCACACAAAGCGACTTCCTAGGTTTTCACCAGCCTATAGATAAACAAGCCCACAAGGGCCCCTTTGTGGCATGGGAGAGGTCTGTGGTGTTTCCAGGAGCTCCTTAATGACATCCCAATATCTCTCCCCCTTTGCTGCACAAGCCTTTCCTGAAGGGAAGAAGTAGGAAGCGTCCAGAGAAGCAAAACCCTCTCCAGTTAGGATGTCTGTATAAGGACACAGGGCCTAGTGACTGAATTGAAAGTGAGATAATAGCAGTAGCCAATAAGAACTGTAAACAGCTGTGAGGCAGGCACAAGATAGAAGGATAAGCGTGTGTAACCAAAAGCCACTATCAGCTGAAAGAAGATCACAAACAGAAAACACACAGAAGTGAACTCTTTGAGAAAGAGAAAACCATGAATCTTTTGTTCACTCAAGCTGGGTGGTGCCTCTCTGATAAAGGTGTTCAGATTTAGTTTCTTACCTTCTAGTTATTTACTGTTCACCAGGTGTCTTTTGCGTTTGGTTTCTGGTTCTCAAAAACAATTACGTTTGAAACCTTGTATGTGTATGTTCCCTGTGAAAAAGCCAAGGGTTAACTCTTCAGTATGACACTCTTCAGTTTGACATCCAAATTGAGGCATCTGGCTAGATACTTGGCCCCTGGGTGGATCGTATGGGCTGATTATGCAATTGTGTTTCTCGGGGGTCCCTTCCCATGGAGCACCCCCGTGGGAAGTGTTGGATGTTGTATACATACTGCTATGCCACTTTTTCTCATTTACCATTTTGTGCTGCTTTGATATAAAAAGTAAGATTAGGCAAAAAATAAAATAAAGTAAAATAAACATAGTCTTCACCATTCACCAGACAGACAAAAGACCCCCTCCCTAGTTTTGAGGTTTGGGCCTCTTTAAAGCTTTACTTTTGTCCCAAAGTGTTTAAAGTCTTCCTCCTGCTTCCTTTAAACACTTTGAAAATTTAAAAATTAGTTTTGACTGTATGGCCATTACAAGCATTCCTTATCCAGTCTCCTTTCACCTTCCATGCCTTCAGCCTCTGTGTTTCTTCTGTGTCAATAAGAATAATGAAGAAGGTGAGACTTTTCATCTTCACTGTCAACATCTGGGAGAACACCCTTCTGCTACCCAGCTCTACTTGGGTTAGTCAACGCTTAGACCTTTGATTAGCCATTTTTCTAATGGTTCCCCTTTTTTTCTATTGAATTCGCTCAACTTTCAAACTTCATTATTTTCCTTGTATTAGACATTCACTCTCTAAGAAGCACCCTGCATGCCCCAGGGGTTATGAATGCATCACCCTCTGGAACTTCTAAGAAGTAGCTTCTCAACTTTCTAGGCAAAGAAAACACCTAGGGAACCCCAGACCTAGGCTGTACCCCAAATCAATTAAAATCAAAATCTCTGAGGTAGGAACCCAAGCAATGATACCATCTAACTGGTTTGATTATGTAGTCAAGGGCTTCTTCAAGGGAAGATTGTGAAAACTAACGTCCTATAGCACTCCTTCAGATGATCTGCAAAATACTCTCCTGAGCTCTTTTAAAATCTGAAATAATAACAAAATTCTTATTTTGCATTCTGGTACAACTAATAATGTGTTTAGAATGTGGGGGAAAAAGTCAGGGATTGACTTGTTTGTGTTTCATTGAAATACCTCTGTCTTATTCCATTGACAATCTGGGGCAGACAAATGTAGGAGGCCACAGGCTGTTTCACTCCGAATTTCAAATGCATCCCTGGACCAGCAGCCTCAGCAGATCCTGAGATACACAGATACTTGGGTCTCATCTCCATCTTATTAATCAGAAGCTTCATTTCACACAATCCTCAGGTGGTTTGCATGCACAATGCATGTGTGAAATTTATTTTTTTAAGATTTATTTATTTATGCACATAAGAACTGAGATACAGGACAAAGGTTCTGGGGTGAGAGGATTTACCAGATAGAGTGGGGAGCAGAACAGGTGGATTGACTGAAATCCACTGCTGAGGGGATTAGCAGGTGAGTCAGGAGCCGTCTGCTGCACCATGTAGGACACCTCCCTGGCCGGGGATCGAACTCGATGCTACAGTGGCTATAGATAGCTTTATAGTGCTGCGACTTAACCCCTTGCGCCACCAGGGAGGCCCCATTGGAAAAATTTAAATATTCAGTGTTCCATGACCTAACAAAGTGGTATACAAATCAAAAATGATTAAGAGCTAGAAATTAAGAAGTAGATCATTGGTGTACTTTGTTCCACCCATACAGACTAGACTTCAACGAATAAAATTTAAGAAACTTAATATATTGGAACTGGCAATAGTACCAAAAGGAAGAAACAAATAGGACTCATGTTTCAAGGGATGTAATTTTCCATTTATTCCACATAAACAAAAGATAATTTGCCTTGGTCATAATGCAAACACATAGGTACGCTTGTGTCCTTTTCTAACTCTCTCCTGATGCTGACAAGTTGCTGGGCTAAAGAGTAGGAAACAGCCACATGCCAGAGCGTAGTAGCCCAGAGTCTCCCCTTGTACAACAGGGAGTAATGACTGCCCAGACACCAATTGGATTTTTTCTAATGTAATCAAATATAACTGAATTTCCTTTCTGTTTTTTGGAAGGGAATAGGAAATGTAATCAGAATTCACAGTGAGTTGTATTTCACCAAGAAACTTTTGGCATTGTAGTCATTTGAGGACTAGAGTCAGATTACAGTGATTTGATGGAAATGAAGAACTTAACCCTCCTATAGCCTCACGATTTTGTATTAATAGTTAAGAAATTGATCTATGAAAAAAATCATTGCTTCATTGTTGATCATCATTAATGATGTTCAAACATGTAACATTAGTTACTTTCACTGTGATCAGAGAATGACATTTTCATGCTTGTCCAGTTAACCAGGGCATGATTTAACACATGTTGGTTTTCATTCCAAGTCTGCACTAGTGAAGTTAATTGTGGAATATGCACAATCACTAAAAGAAAATGGGTGGATAAATAAAAAATGAGTTGATAATTAGGCATATCTTTGTCTCTATTCTTTGATTTTGCTAATATTCATCCTCAGAGTACAAGACTGTATTTTATTTTATTTTCAAATTATGCTTATTGAGGTAAAGTTGGCTTACATCATTATATCTGCTTTTGGGGTCTAGGTTTAAACCTCTACAAATGCATCACACCAAGGACTATAATTTAAAACCCAAAGAAGGGGCCGTCCTGGTGGTCTAGGGGATAAGTCTCAGCGCTATCACTCCTACAGCCTGAATTCAATCCTGACCAGGGAGCTGACCCACATGGCGCAGCAGACCTCTCCTGTCTCACCCACTGCTCCCCTCAGCATTATATTTCAGTAGATCTGCCTATTCT